CGCGGGCGGCCGTGGCCGCCCCGGGGGGTGCAGGCCAGGGCACCGCAGGGGCTGCGACTGCCCTGACGGCCCGAGGCGACACGGGGCGGCAACGCTCAACCCGGTCCGAACCCCAGCACAGCAACGCCGCAAACGCACAGGGCAGGCCGTGACCACAGAGCTCGCCCGCAGCGCCCCGGGGGTACAGCCGGCCGCCTTCACGGGGCTGGGCCCCGATTCACCCCAACGGGTCACAGAGATGATTTTCTCCCCTTTTTTTCGTCCCAGGAACCTTTTCTCGCTGCGGGACTATGCTGCTGCTCTCCCCAGGGAGGAAAGGAGGCTTCCCTTCTGGCGCCCCTCCTAGAAACCGCTTTGTTCTCTATCCCATCAACTGCGGGATAACTAGGTCTGCTGAAGGCCACGGCTGCGGTGTCAGCGCATCCCCTGAGCCCCAGCAGACCTCTCGAGCCAGGGAGACAGCGCTGCTCCAAAAGAAAGAGGCCTCAAGACGTGGCTTGTTACCTTCTCCCCCACCCCAGCCTGTCCCTTGAGCACAGGAGAGCTTCACCCAACATCTGCAGCTGCTCCAAGACGTCTTGCTGCATCTCCATGGCCATGCGGTGCACGTGGTGGTTGAAGCTGTTGTACATCACCGCATTCTGGAACATGAGCATGAGGTCACGCTGGAACTGGACCATGGACTGAATGTGTCCCTTTGACAGTCTTCTCTTTATGCTGGTTAAATCCATGGGTCTACAAAAGACAGAAGGAGAATTAAATTGCAACCCAGGGCCAGGCATTCTTCAGGCTCTGCATGAACGTGCTTATTCTCATTTCAGCGTGGCCCTGAAGGCACAGCTATTTTCAATCAATTTTATTGCTCAGGACAAAGAGGGGAAGTGAGAAATGTTTTTCTTCGAAGTCAGACAAAAGTAAGTTTAGCCAATGCGACACTTGCTATCCAATCAACTTGGCAGGTCATTAGCAGTCACCTCTAAAAAAAATTTGATGCTGAGCTCCAGAGAAGGCAAGCAGAGCGATTCTAGTAATTAGTCTTCATGAAGTCAGTCCAGGTCTTAGTGGAGAAAGAAGAGTTACTAAAATAGGTATCTATTAAAACCCCTTAAAATCGAATGGTGCCACTAGCAAAAATAGCAGTGCTGATAAGGGGAACATGATGGAGAATAAATATTACTTCCCTTATTTCGACAGAATGAGAAAATGAATGGCTGCAGAGAGGACAACTGTGACCAGAATAGAATATGATTCAGCTCTGAAAAATGCCCTTAATCTCTCTGGGAAATATTCTTATGACCCACTTCTCCACTGAGAGTAAAACATCTGGGGAACAAGCAGTGGATGAGGAGAGGGTATCGACTGAGGCACATGCTTCCAACATAGGGAGAAGAGACTGCTGAGCTGCAGAAGCTGAATCCCCTGCTCAGGCAGGGCTTACAGCTGCATGGACTGTGCCTGGAGTAAGTCAGCCGTGCAATGCCGGCAAAAGGCAGGCACAGTTTCTGTCAGCTGCAGAGTCAGAGCAAGCTTCCAAGTCTAATCACCTGGAAGGGAGTTTTAATAAAAGAAATCAGTGGGAGATGCTGGTGACAGCCAAGCTCTGTAAAAGGAGGAAGGAAGCCATCCCACTGGCCCTTTGGAAACCAGAGAAGACAGACAAAATGGAGAGAAATCAACTAGCGAGCACTTCCTCCACAAACTCACCTCTTTACCACATCCCTGTATCCAGGGGCTTGTTTCTCTGATACCGCCTTCAGGAACGGGCCGCTGTATCTACAGGGACAAGCACAAAGAATGGCCTCTGTCCGCCTCTCTGCCAAAGACAACATTGCAACACGGACCAGCGCTTGCCTCTCCCTGCTTGCCATGAGGGCCACGGCCGATTAGCAACAGTATTAGCCAGTATTCGGTGACTGTCACGACTCGGCATGGGAGGAGGCTGCGCCCCTTGCTGAAGCTGGCTGTGCCAGCTGTGTAGGAAGCAACATTTGGGCTCTGCCACGTTAAGCGGAGGAAATAAATATGCAGTGTTCTCCCCAGCTTTGCAGCATGCAGCTGTTCTTGCTGCGAGGACAGCCAGAAGAAAAGCCATGGAGAGACAAGCCAGCCTGTGGTGGCTGTTGTGGAGGGGAGGACAAGGCCTGGTGACGCAGGAGCTGGAACTCAGTGCAATGCGTACAAGAGCCATGTCAATCCAACCCTTTGCCCCCACATACCTGTGACTGGCTATCATCTTCCAGATGGACAGGAGAGTTCTTTTGAAGAGCAAATGCTGCAGGGGGTTATCCCAGCTCAGCTGCACCCTGTGGAGGGAATATATTGCCAGATCATCACACTCAAGATGAAGTAGGAGGTGGCAATTCTGCTAGCACCCACCACATCCAGGTGGATGAAGCGCAGAGATCCTTTGCTGTAGCTACGCAAAGCCTCTCAGGATGAGATGGTGGAAGCGTTCTGCATCTGAATGCACAACTAAACATCCAGAATGCAGGAAGATGCCAGGCAATAGGTAGAAACAAGATCTGAGCTGAGCAGCTCTAAAGGGCAGGATCAAGTTGGACAGAAAAGCTTGTGCTACTCTGAAGTTCAGAACTTTACTGAGGTGTTTTTTATTCAGTTTCTCATCCCGATAAACTACGGTTTTCCTTCAAAAGGCAGCCCAGGTGATCACACATGTGGCAGAGCCTGCATGTGACTGACACACCTGTACCTGCCTAAAACAGACTGGTAATACCTCTCTTAGGAGCTGGACTGGACATTGCCTGGCAAAGCATGATGCCCAGCTCCCACAAGGCCTAGCTGCCTTGAGGAAACATGTATTTTCCATTTAATCTCTTAATCTCTACTCTTCTCACTTCATCTTAGGATCAACGCCCACAAATTGGGTATTGGATCTGGCAGATCCACAGAGATAGCACAAGTTACCTCCTTCGCTCCTGTTCTCCTTGGCTATCTCACCTTCCTGGAGGTGACCTGTGCCATTGTCCTGGTTTCGGCAGGGATAGAGTTAATTTCCTTCCTAGTAGCTGGTACAGTGCTGTGTTTTGGATTTAGGATGGGAACAAAGTTGATAACACACCGATGTTTTAGTTGTTGCTAGGTAATGCTTACACTAGCCAAGGACTTTCTAGTTTCCCATGCTCTACCGACTGAGAAGGCTGCAGGTGCACAAGAAGCTGGGAGGGGGCACAGCCAAACTGGCCACAGAAACATTCCATACCATGGGACGTCATGCTCAGTACATAAACTGGGGGAAGCTGGCCGGGGGGGCCGCTGCTCGGGGACTGGCTGGGCATCGGTCGGCGGGTGGTGAGCAATTGTACTGTGCATCACTTGCTTTGTGTATTATTATTATTATCTTACTACTATCATTATCATTTTATTTCAATTATTAAACTGTTTTTATCTCAACCCACGAGTTTTTCTCACTTGTGCTTTTCCAATTCTCTCCCCCATCCCACCGGGTGGGGGGAGTGAGCGAGCGGCTGCGTGGTGCTCAGTTGCCGACTGAGGTTGAAACACGACAGACACTTGTTCTCACATGAGACAAGGGAAACAACTCTGTTCTGCTGCACCTGCAAGAGAGCAGACTGAACTACTTACAGCTGCGTGTTGGCAGGACTCGTAGAGTCCAGCACGGGGGCTGCAGTGGTGCTATCACTATCGTCTTGATCCTGGACCTGATTACTCATCTCCTGTGGATGCGGCTCACCTAAAGCTTGTTCTCCAGGTGCCTCTCGAGTCTTGTCCTGAAGAGCACAGAGGAAAAGGAAGATATTTCTACAACGGCAGCCCATCACCTGAATCCTTTATCCAGAAGCCAGCCTGCTGCACATCCCTTTACTGCATTCAGCCTCAGCTGGGAACTAGCTCGCTCTCTGTTATTCTGGAGGATGATGTTTGACTTAAGAGACCTTCACGGTGCTGCCCAGCACTCCAGTAACAGCTGGGTCTGATCTCTTGGATCATAACCACCTCTGGCTAACACAAACACTGCGGAGCTGACTGGTGCCCAGTGTTGTGTCTGTCTGCTTTTCTGGGAAGAGTCATGGATGTGAGAGGGCAATCAGGAGCTGAGGTAAGACTGCCTCAGGCTTGTTAAAGCTCAAGATGCAGATAACAGGATCCCCTAGAGTGCAACAAGGTTGTTTCCTCACAAACTCCCACATGAATATGACAAAGAATAGACTCAGCCAGGAAGGAGAGTGTTTCTGTTGTTGTAGTGATTTGCCAATAAAATGTAGAGAGTGACAGGTGCAGGGAGAGAGGCTTTTTGGAGTCCAGAAGTGGGACTGTGTGTAGGGGCACCTGAGAATCCTCAACAGATCTGAAGCATGGGGCAGACTCCTCAGAAAGAAGGCGGACACTGTGCCGTGTTTGGCTTTGACCACTGGGAGAACTGCGAGGGAACTGCTGGGAATAACACCGTCCTGGCTGAACAGGTGAAATGTGAGAACCCTGAGTTATTTCTGTCTCCAGTGTCTAAGTTTGCAAGGGAACAAATGTGAGTGTGGAAAAATGGCACTGTTCTTCCACTGCTATATTACCTGTCCCAGCAGCACCTCGCAGGCTGGTGGGAGCCCACAGCCCCCCTAGACACAGGACTGATGTAAACCCAGGGTAGACAGCGCCTGCTTCCAAGACATGATGGTCTCCAGGGGCAGATGGTTACTGCTATCACAGCCACGTGGGCCTGAAGCCAGCCAAGCTGTGTGCTGCATAACACAGCAATTAGAACAAGGCAAGTATTCCAGTCTTGCCTTCAACCCGAGAGCAGGCTGCCAGCTCTCATGAGTCACCTTTACACTGCCAAGGAGCAATTCCTCCAACTCACATCTGAGGGTTTGATCTGTAACAAGCTTCCTGTTCATAAAGATACATATCCATACATAAAAAACATCCTTCCCCCCATACATTTCTTTTGCATTCCCCTCTCTGCTGTATCCTCCTCTGTGTCCCTGTCTCCCCACTCGGAACCTGGGACTTCCCCATCTCTTCTAGAGCTGATTTCCTGCACTGCCTCTTGTCTCTCATCCAGGACCACAGGCTCCCTTAGGACCACCTCTCCCCTACCTCTCTTCCTGGGAAGTGTTCTTTCTCATCTGCCAGGACGTGTAGTTGACTTTTGTCTGCTCCTGAGATTGCTGTCCCTGTGGTTTTTTCCTGGTACCTCACATCTTCCCCATCATCCTGCTTCCCAGAGCCACAACAATCCCACTGAGTCTGTGCTGACTCTGTGCTGCTAATGCGGAGAGGTTCCATCATCTGGGTTACCTGCAACACAGAGATTTATTACCTCAAATTGTGAAGGCAAAAGGAAGAATAAATAAGCAGCACAGATGCTATTTTTGCTTTCGCTCACGAATGCCTTTCCATTTTTAGGAATCCTTGCAAAATCTTCTGATGAAGCCCTGTGTTGTTATTACAGTGTCAGTTCACTGACATCTCTGTGCTTTAGGGTGAGCTGTGTTTTGGCAAAGCAGCTGCCTGGTTGCGGTGCCAGCTTTAAAGGGGAGGAAGGGCTAGGCTTGGGACAGGGAGCAAGTGAACTCAGGGCACCTGCTCCTCCCCCAGACTGTTTCTGTGTGTAGGGATGGTAGCGGCCCTGAAAACCCTAATGTTTCAGGAAGGCTTGAACTATGCTGCCCACTTTCCTGTCATCCAAGCAGCCCTACCTCTGAGAAGAACTGGAGAAGACCGTCGTCTTCACATGGCCTCTGCGCCTTTTGGTAGTCTTCACTATCATCCCCCCAGGGAGGCCCGCTGAACTCCAGCTCGCAGTCTGCCTCTCGGCTGCTCTCCTCTAGCTTCTCCATGGCCACCTCTTCAGTATTCCTCCAGCTCCCCACGTCCAGATCCAAGCTTGAATCCCAGCTGAGAAGCGACTGGAAGTCACTGTTCTTCTCTGACTCGCTGGGAGATTCCGTCTCAGACTCCCACAACACCCAGGCATGGCCCATCTGCAAACAAACATAAAGAGAGAGACAGCAATTTCTTTGTACCCTGATCCAGAACTGCAAAGCCCAGCTCATTTCCTGACATACTCAGAGAGCTGAAGCATGGGAAGGACCCCGTGAGGCGAGCAGCCTACACTTGAGCCCAGACTCGACAGCACGTGGCAAGGCTGTAGCCCTGCAACACAAACTGCCATTTCAGAGCAACTGAATTTCAGGTTTTCTGGTGCTTTTGCTGTGCTGCCTTGGGGTCGGTGGGTGACTGTGCTCGGGGGATGCTGAGCTACTTAGGAGCATGTGGCTTTGTCAGACACTAGATGTTTAAGGTGCCAAAGGCAGCCAGCAGCAAGCTCAAAACCAAGTCATGCCGGGGCTCCTGAGCTGCCGACAGCTGTGAAAAACTAGTGACTCCGAGGACAACTCATTGAAATTCCCTTTGCTGCCCCATGAGAACCTGCAAAGAGCTTATTACAAACACCACAGAAACTTTGTTTTGAAAGTGACAGATGTGATTTAGCTGGATAGTGATATATTGTGTACCTGAGCCAGAAGAATTTTAACCACGTACAGTCACATGCTGACAGGGGACAGTTCTACACATCTCAGAAAATAAAAGTTAGCATTCTCTTAGGAAGGAAGAAACCATTCATTTCGTTCATTAGTCCATGCCTAAGTGTCTTCTACTGCACGAGTCCACTATGAGTTCTCTAAGTCTGGGGAATTGCTTGCAGAGTCACAGTAACAACAGTAAATGGCTGTTAGAAAAATCTGTATCTTGCCACTGAACTCAGCTGCCTGGATGCTGTACCTATGGAGAATTCTGTGCATTAATTAGCTGTCTTTAGAGTTTTCAGTTATGTACAAGCTAATTTTTCCAGCATTTTGAACAAGTACATTTCTCACCTTTGCAAAAGGACCTTTTCAGTCCTTTTGCATTCTCAGGACTGCTAGCACAGCTACAAATAAAGCTTACGGTGCACACCTGGGAGAAATAAGGAATCCATTGGGTTTGGGATGAGAAAACTTGTTTGCTTATTTTATGAACTGACAAGCAGAGCTAGGATCCGAAAGGCCGTCCTTCTGAAACCTCTTTCAAAATTAACTTCAGCGGAAGCAGATAAAATTTGATGAGGTAAGAGATAACGTTACCTGTTTTCAGCTTCCAGCTAAAGGAGTTGGGCAAACTGTGATTTCATCTGAAGAATAACCCCGTGCCTAAAGCGCTTTCCTGCACCATCAGCAGAGCTGGCTGCACATGCGGAACCAGCCACTGCAGCTCAGCTGAAGAACAGAAAAGCCTTAGCCTAGGGTAATCCAATCACTTGTGATCATCTTTCTGTACTCCAGTTGAGAGGGATAAGCATTTTAAAATCAGGAAGCCCAGGGAACTTGGCCACAAGCACTGATTAAAAAGATCTTCGGCCTTATGTTCAGTTTTACTAAATCTTGGAAGACTCAAGCCACCAGAGCGGAACAGCAGCGTTAGTGCAAGACAAGTGGGATGAGTGAAATAATTACAGACTGCTTAGTTCCATACCCATTCTGTACAAAGAATAAGGGACAAAAAGATACAGACTTCAACTTTTAATTAAGAACCGCCTGACAGTTCTGAATTATGTTGGCTACATAAGTCACCAGCAAGGAATCATTATCAAATTGGAAAGTTTTAGTTCGCTTTGCAGAGATCAGACACTGTGCAACCCTCGCTGATATGAGAAAAAGCTGTTAGAAATAAAAAAGACGGCCTTTAAAAGGAACTTACATGTCAAAACAAGAAACATGATAAAAGCCTGAACTCTAGTAAATGAAATGTAGAATCCACAAAAAAGTAGGCAAAAAAAAAAGGAAAAAAAATGAAGAACAATTTGCTAAAGACATAAAAGCAAATAACAACAAACCTCATCAAAAACATCAGAAACAGGGAGCTGCCAGATGATCAGTGGGAATGACGCATACTCAGTGCCAAACATCTCAGTGGAAAATAGGGCCAGTTGGAAAAACCAAATTAATCATCATTATCAGCAGTTGCCACAGAGATCACAGGAGACTTTCTCTTGGGATGGGTCTGAGAGACTGTTTCTAATTAAAATGTCAATGGGGAGGTTTCAGAACAATTTGAGGGATGGAGTAAACCTTAGAACCAGTTGGGATTCACTCGTGAGTCCTAAAGAAGCTTAAATATAACATGACCAAACCTATGCTGTGTAACCTGTCATTTAAATTAGCTACAGCACAAGAAAAACAGAAAGACGCGATTGTTATATCTGTCTGTAAAAGGATGGATGTTGGGAGATGCAGCACAGTAAGCCTGAGCTCTGCACTAGACAGATTAGAACAAAGTATTAGGAAGAAGAGAATTAGTAGTCAGAGCACGAGATGATGAATTGGGAAAGAGGCAACGGGGCTCTGCAGAGGAAAACCGTCTCTTAGATTTTTCAAGATCTTAAAACATCATTAAAGACTATTAAAATGTCACGGGCCAAGAGAAAAGGCTCTTTGAGGGAAAAAATACCTGGTTAAGAGAAGAAACCAAGGGTAGGAACGAACAGCAGTGCTTTCCATAATGAAAGTGAGTTACTAGTGGGCATGATAAACGTCCTCCCATGTGCTGCAACTTCAGTTGTTCAACACAGGGCAGAGGTGTTACAGAGGAGACAGAGCCAGGCTCTTCTCAGCGGCTAACAGCGAGAGGAGAGGAGGCAGCGACAAGCTGCCCTGAAGGAAATTCAGACTGCATAGAAAGTAAACGTTTACTCCCTGGGGGTGGGTAAGCACTGAAACAAGTTGTCCAGAGGGGTTAGGGAATCTCCATCCTTGCAGATTTTCAAAACTTGACTAGACAAGGCTCCGAGCAACCCGACCTACCTCTGAAGCTGGCCCTGCTTTGAGCAGCAGGTTGGACTAGATAAATGCTCAGAGGTCCCTTCCAACTTAAATTATTCCATAAAATACCAGAAACCAAAAGAAACCTGTAACTTTTTGTGCTATGAACTTAACAACCTGTAATCTCTGGAAACCGAGGCCATAAAAATTCAAATCAGGAATTTGTTCCCAATTTCAGTAGTGAAGGAAAATTAACCAGTAAGCAAACCAAAGGATTCTACGTTTCTAGAATCAAACGCAGAGTGATTCTTGGTGGAAATACACCTCAGCCAAACATGGGACTCAACACAACAGGCACAACCAATGTCAACACAAAACTTGTGAAAATTAAGGTAAGGTCTGGTCTTAATTGCAATGACTCAGTTTCCTGCAACTTCTGTGTCAGAAAGCTGCACCCTGTACATGCTGCACAAAGAAGTGCAGACCACTCCCAGTGGCTGCAAGCATCAGGAAGGATAGTGTTGTTTTGGTTTCTTTTCCCCTAGGTAGTCACGGGGGCAGAAAATATGCAAGTTTCATCTCACAGGTCATGTAAGCAGAAAATAAGTAAGGCGACTTGAAAACTGTCAGAAAGAAGTTAAAACTCAGTTAAGCATCCATGTTGCTGAGGGAAAGAACTGTAATTTCCAGTGGAGAGAAACAGTTCACGAGCTCCAGTGTGAAACCAGGCACTAGCATGCCTACAGCTGCTGGAACGACAGGGGATTTTCACTGACTAGCGTACCCTTTACAAATCTCTGGGAAAAGAATGTAAGGTACATTTCAATGCATCAGTCTCTTAAGGAAAGCTCCAACAAGACTGTAATATTTAGCTTCTCATGGTTAGATCTCCTGTTTCATCACAACACTACCACATTCTCACACACTCGAGCAGGGAATCTTCCCCTCCACCCAAGCACTATGCAACATTCCCATGATGAACGGATTGTCTCTAATGTCAAAGCTCTGCCGTGCTTGTGTACTGTATGGATACCTGGAAGAGAGTTATATTTGCAGATATTAGACAGGTATGCACCCTTGTACAAAAAGAGGGTTCCTCACTGCAGAGAGCTGCGATGCTCAGTACACTGCACACCGTACACTGGATTTGTTCCCGGACTTTAATATACATACACATTTACACATCACTAGTAAAAATCTGTACACTTCACATTACAGTACATACGAGCCACCAGTTGCTAGCTAACACCAGAACACTGATGAAGCCCAAGACGACTGCCCTAAAACAGGCAGGGGGGCTAATCTTCCCCTCTGGGAAGGTTTCTTTGGGTTACACATTCCGACGAGACACTGCTTTCCAGAGGGGCAAGCGAAGAAGGTGGACCAGGTCCCAGAAATGGACCTGCAGCTTTTCTTCCTCCTCCAACAGCTGTTAACAGCATCTTGCTTGCACTCCAGCTCTGGACGCCGGGTGCTGGGATTTTCTGTCTGCCTGCAGCACCATCATTTCTTCATCTTCATGTCTGCCTCGATGGCACAGCGACGCCCTCTGGTGCCGCCGTCCTAGTCGCAAGGCAAACAAAGAGAGAGTTATGCAACCCTAAACACAAAACACTTCCTCCAGCACTCGGGGAGGTAAGGAATTGTGCATCTGGTAACAACTTTTCACGCCTTCCAAACAGGAGAAAGGGAAGCTGTCCTAAGAAGGCCTGGGGAGGCCTGCCTGCAGACCTACCTAAAATTCACCTTGGACACAGCACAGGTGCTGGGATTTGCAGCGTCTCTGTGCACTGCTGGCAGCCAGGGCAGAGAGAGGCAACAAGGCTCTCGCCCAGACAGATGCTTTTAGAGCCTGTACAGTGCAGGCTTTTTCCTAAGCAGCAGATTCTAGCTTGGCTCTTAAGATGGAAAGAGGAAACTGCTGACTAACCTACCTTATCAGCTGCTGATCCCTACGGGAAGTGCTCCTCCAGTTGAGTGACCCTGGCACTAGCTCCCTAGTTTCTCCGCACAGCTCCTTTCCATGAGCAGAAGGCGAGCTGAGAGCTTCCTTTGATCCGCTGCCCTCTCTCTCTGGCTGACATGCTGACTCTCCCGGAGTACTCCTCTGTCTTTAGATATATGCGAGAGAAAAAAACGACTCTCCATCTTCCTCCCCTCTCTCCTCCCCGCAACTCAGAGACTTGGGGTTTCCCAGAGGGAACATTTTTCCAAACACTTCCAGATCACCACAGGCACAGAGCAAGGTAT